TCTCATATTTTGCCATTACTCACTCACCAAAGTTTCTGATGGATGGTCCATTTGATACAGCCTCTATAAATGCACGATGTTTAGGAGGCATGTAGTAACGCATTCGATGTAAAAATTGGTCACCATCTGAAGAAAAAACAGTCAATTCCAAAAAAACTTAAAGCAACTGACACAGTTCTTCTGGAGCTGTTCAAAAGACAAATAATATTATAATGGAGTAAGCAAGAAACACAAAGGAGGGAATCTCACCCCCAGGATTTCGTGAGGTAATTTTTTTTCTTGTGGTTTTCTTTTACGTCATGCACTATGGACTAAGAAAAAGAGGGACTACTTGTAGTCCAGGGAATATCAGACTTAACTGTTTATTACTGGTAATTAGACTGCAACAATTTCCTACCTGTATCTTTGGAATGTAAGATGCCCAATGCTGCATCAAGAACTTGAAAAACTGATGACTCTGCTGCACTTCCTCCAGAATACTGACAACAAACAAGACAAAACCACTGATTTTTTTTTCTTAAAATGCTAGTTACATTCACAAATTATAGGAAATGCTCAATATTTTTAATTAACTTTATTCCTCTGAATCCCCTTGAGATATATTTTAATACAACTGAAAAATGGACCTTGTTGTCAGGGGTACCTCAATTTGATAGGCCAAAACAATATTAAGAACAGACAATTGCAACCATTTGTCTGGATAAAAGTTTGGCTATAAGCGAGAAGCATTTAGCTGCTTAATAGTAGTGGAGCTCCGGCAGCCTGAAAGGCCACCAAGCAGAGCACTATAATTATAGGAACAGAACCACATGCATGCATAGAGATAGAAAACCATACACATCTTTTTTAATTTAATTTTTTTAGATCAAATTTTTTTTATTTAATCATAGCAACACTTACATGACTCAAACTTATATTACATGTCATTAATTACAATTTTAGGTCTGAATTTATAACAATGTTAAAAGCAACAGTTTTTTTTCTTTTTTTTTTATGATAAACAACCTTTTTGCATTATTTCTCTATCTACAGGACATCAATTTTTTTTGCAACATACAACGTAATAACTAAGTTGAAAATATATCAAAAAAAAGAAAGAAATACTGCTTATAAAGTTTTGACAATTATTTACTTTTCATTAAATTTAAATTAAGTACACACTTCCCATTTCTTTTTAAACTGGCTGACCTTATTTGCCTTAAAAGCTATGTATTTTTCGGTTTCATATTTGATTTCCGTAATTCTTTTGAAATGGTTAAAGATGGGATTAATTCAGCCTTTACAACTACAGGTCCACAGATATGTTTTTCCTAGAGTCACTACATAGTTAATCAAATCCATTCCCTCCTTCAGAATACTTATCATGATGTCACGTATCAAGAGGCACCCGCAACTTCCAAGCCTATTTAATATGCAAGAGGACACCATACTCCAAAAACACTTGGAAAAAGAGCATTCAAATAGAATATGATGAATAGTTTCTCAACCGTCTTGACAAAAGGTGCAGTTTGGAATTGATATGTATCCATCCTATTTTAAAAAGACGGTCATTTGTGTAGAGGATGTAGTTTAACACTTTGTATTGAAAAGAACTCTTTTTCATGGTCAACATGGCTAGCGGCAGGGATCGCAGGTGTGTGCACCCTACAATGACGACAATGATGTCACGCAACATGGCAGCCATACTCCAGCTAATAGGTGGACCGAGGCATGCAGTCTTACAATGGACATCCATGTCATGGTCAATTGACACCTATCAAACAAGGTATCTGCAGACCAGTGTCACATGACGATATTGCGGGCTTATGTTTTCAGCTCAATGAGGTTACATTTTCTTTTAAGTTGACCGCTGTCTGGGTACTTTTTTTTTTTAAATTGGATCGCAGGCTCGAGTCAGGTTAACTTAGTGATCAGGAGCTCCACTTTTAGGCTTGGCTAAATCTATATACTATTCAAAAATCCATTTTAAAACTAATTAACAATAACAAGAAATGGTATGCCCATCAAAGGTGGGGGCAAGAAACTGCCAATAAACCATACATGTAAAGCTGGGGAGGAGGTGGGTTGAAAAGGTTGAGAACAAGATGTCCAGCAGACTCAAGGCTTGATCAGTGAAAACACATGGCAATCGAGAGCCTGGAGGTAATATTCATTAATCCTCTTTACAGTTTAACCCCCAAACTATTGTCTTTCCTTCACAAGCTCAAGCTTTAGCGAAAACTTAACAGTAAGGGATAATATATCATTTTCTGGAGTTCAGGTGGTCAGGTTTAAGAAAGATGGCGTTCCACACAAGCCACCTTGTAATTAACCATCAACAATTTCCAGGGTTGTACAGTTCTGTAAGTATTCAAAGCACAGTGAAGCTCTGATTTTGGGAGGTTATCTATTTCTTTTTCTGTTCTTTATCAAACTTAATGTACCATGTACCAACCAAACAAATTATTTTTAGCACAAAGAAAAGGTTAACATTGGTCAATGGTTATCTTCAAACAGCAATCAAGTAGTTATAAATAACTTACTTGTAATGGTGTCTCACTCACACCCTCATAGACAAGGCCATCTGGTAGAACTGGATTGCCATACCACCTAAAAAGGAACATTTTCATACAAGTTTTCTTAAATGTACTTTTTTCACTAATCTCATTTCAGCATGATTGTAAGGATTAAGTCTGCATACGAGCCAAGTGTTCTATTAAGCTGGAGCTTATCCCACTTTCCGTAACATGAAGTGACTAGAAGCATTTCTACCCTCCACCCAAACCATGGATCAAATACTCAGTGGTATCTAAAAAGAACAGGAAAGAACTTAACAACAAAATGTGTCTGGAGAACTGTAAAATTTAATGCAAATGATACTTACCCAGCAAGAAAGGGCCGCAGACTGTGATAAAATTCATCAGGATCACAAACATCTGTGTACAAAGTCATCATGTCAGAATCAATTAGCTGAGAACACATGAGACTACCAGTAAGCAGTCCTAAGTAAAACAATAAGCTATTGATTCAAGTTGAAAAAGATAAATTAACCATTATAGTGAGTTTGTGAAGCTGACCAGGTAAAAGGCTAGGCTTTATGTTTGAGTAGGTAGTTGATTTTGCCTTCTTTTTCTAAAGGATCAGACAAATAGCTTAGCAAAGTAGCCAACAGAGACCAAGAAAAAGATGGTTGTTTCACAGTGATGGTTACTTTCACTGACAACCTTGTAGTCATTTTTATTAGCAATTCCTTGTGTGACCCTAGTGTTATTTTCTCAGTCTTGAAAGACAACTAACAAGGAGTATATTTACCCCCCATGCCAAAATGGGGGGGCTGCCTGACATAAAAAGGGGGGGGGGGGGGGAGGGGCGGCTGCTAGCTTGCAAGAACTATCATTTTGTTCAAGGGGAGTAGCAATACACCTGATTGCTTCATGCTATGAAAATCAGAGTTAAGCATCAGCTTGGTAGCCCAGCTAGGCCTGTCGAGAAACTTTTCTTTACCTGATCTAAATTTGTAAGAAACATGTCTATTGTATCAGCCAGGTAAACCAGCTAGGCTTGTATGGAAATTTCCATTACATACCATAATTTTTTTAAGAAACATGTCCTGAGTTTTATTTCCTTTACCTACCATAAATTCGTAGGAAAGATGTCTTGAGTTTTACTATTGTTTCTCCAAGTGACATCAAGGCTTTCAACACTCCTGTGCTGTCACCGTTCACAACAGACTGACAACAGAAATTAAAGAAAAACAGGTATTTACTAAATAATTTTTCATAGAATGACCAGGGCTGCCAGAATTTTATTGTTGATATGCACTTATTTTCCCCAAATATTTGACACTTGACCTTTCAATATAAAATATTTGTACATCAGATTACAAACCACTTAAAAATTCCTGAAGCTAGTCATAATCATGGTAAATGTAAAATGCAAAAAGTCGTCTAACCTCCTGTCCTTCAATGATACTCTAACAAAGGAAAACAAAATAACAAGTTAAAAATAATATTAAGAACAATTTTAATAGGTGACAAATAAATATTTAATGGTAAATTGGCCTGAAACTCCAAGATTGGTCATTGTTGAATTGAACACATATGTCTAGCATCCATCTTAAAAGACTTTTATGGACACCCTGGGACAGAACTAACTGGCCATTGCAGAGAGGCGGCCATTGGAAGAAGGATTCAATAAGAGGAATTTATTGCCATTGGAAGAAGGATTCAATAAGAGGAATTATTGAAAATGTAAGGTTCCAGAAAATATATCCATACCCACCCCAAGGAGGGTTAGATATTTGGAAATTCCAAGCAGACAGGGAGGTCTCAAAAGGCCAAAATGTTTTAAAAGAAAAAGTATGAACAAAAACTGTGATAAATTTCCAGAGAGATGAGTGGGGGGTGGGGGNGGGGAAGAGGGGGATTCAAACCAAAAAATCCCTCTGTGGGAGGGGTATGGATTTTTGCTGAAACAACACAAAATATAGATCAGTACAAGGTTGCAACAAATTAATTAAAGAGAGAGCTATATCACTGCTACAGGTTGGTGGCTCACTTAGAGGAAATTCTACTGTATTAAGGTGGCTCAAAACATTTACCAGCACTTTCCAAGACTTGGTGTTTAGACAAGTGTATGTTTCTAAAATACACCCTTTATTATAGGTTTAAAGGCTTATAATTCAAAAGTGGCATGGTGAAATTTTTATACATGGGGTTCAGAGCCACCTTAAAGTTTTGAAAACTTAAGGTGACTGTGAACCCTATGTACAGACTTTTTTTAAACTTTGCTGAAAGTTGCATCTCATCCTGCTAATCAAAATTTGATAATATAAAAAATTTCACTGTACTGTTTTTGAATTAAAACCCCTAATTAAAAACTATAATTAAGGGTGTTTTTAGCAGGTCATACTGTTGCTATGGTAACCTATTGTGTCACGAGAATGATAACAATGTGTTCACCAATGATTGAGCAGTGTTTTGACACCATGATTATAGCATCAATTGATAAAAAGTGGTTATGATGACCCATCAAAATCTAACTCTTGGAAAGAGCAATGGAGACTGTTTTGAGCCACCATAAGTTAGAGTAATGACAAAAAAAGCATATCAAGGCAACCGAAGCTGGCTACTTTTGACAACCCCGAGTTAGTGCTTTGAATTTTCCTCATTTAATGGAAGAACTTTCTTAAATGTACATACAGAAATAAAGGCCAAAGTAATGAGATATATGGCCATCTGCCAGGCTCCAGTTAAAATTCGGATATTTATTACAAACACAGTGCCAAAGCCTTACATGATATCCTTTCCCAAAATCTAACTCCACTTGAAGTGGAACTTTTACAAATCCATCCTCAGTCCATGATCCCGTCATTTTAACAGAAATTTCTAAGTTGCTGAAAAACAACAGAAAAGGTAACAGCCTATGACAGACCTGTACACTAATGTTAGGTATTGCTGCTAGATTGGTACACATACTTCTGAAATGCATGATACAGAAGCAACCAATAAAACTTGTTTACATGCATCTATATAAAATTTCAGACAAAAAAAAAAGACTTGAATAATTATGCAGCAGAGAAATTATCAAGCTGACTGGACTGGCAAATTGCTAAGCTAATCTTGGCAGGTCTGATTGGAAAAAAGTGCACCTTTCATGAATAGAATACGTAAAAGACCCACAACATAAATATCGGTATACATACATAACTTGTGCAATAATTAAGTTACGAGTGCTACATAATTGAATTTCTGTAGCCACTCAGAGAAATAGAAATTAATTAGCACTTCAAAAAAAAAGTTTAACTTACTCCATATTACGAGGTCTCCAGTCATTAAGCATGACAATAAATTTGAAATAGAAACAGAAACAAACCACTCATTAGTAGACGATAAAATTTCATTATTTTAACTTTTCCTTTCATCAAAAATCATTGCATATCAAGGCCTGAAGTCCAGCTTTCTATATTGATTCTGTATTCATAAGTAATTTTAAAAAGAGAGTCTAGATTTGACCTATACCTATTAAAGTTCATTTTCCTGTTTATAATACAAAAATTTGAACTGAAAGTAGCAAATGGGCCTGAAGTATGAAAAGGTTGAAATACAGATGAAACCTGTTAATCAGGCCACAGTTAGGCTGCCAAAACCTACTTGCATTATAGGGTTGTTAGTATATCATAAAGAAAGTGATACACTGAGTTTTACTTTGGACCAAGAAGGGGGAACTTGCATCTCTAACCACCGACCTGCTATTCAGAAATCACAACTTGCAACTTGAAACTCACATCTTGCAACTTGAAACTCACAACTCCAACTTGCAACTGCATAATTTGCAAATACTTGGTCCCATCATAATGGGTTTTGATTATCTCACCAACATCTTACATTTTGCCTTTGATCACAGTACATTCATTGACAACTTAACGTTGACTGGATAGAGGTTTTTGCTGCTTGCTAGAAAAATTGTTACAGTGAGAACTGGTATGCTCACTGTAGTCATGACTAGATTCTAATCAATAATACATTAAATAATTGTACTTTCACTTGCCTAAGTCACTTAACCCTGCACTTCAATGGCTAATAGTCAATATTTAAGAAATAGAAAACATGTACCGTGTTTCTGTTGAGTTATAGAAACACGAGTGGAAGTTTGGGAGAACGAGAAATGCTGTGCAGCCTTTTCGAGTTCTCCCAAACTATCACAAGTGTTTCTATTAAACAATTAGATTATGACCACGAGATTGCTATCGCATGATAGTTGACGAGGTGCAGCCCGAGTGAATTGTCATGCATAAGAATCCTGAGCAAATAATCTAATTCTTTTAGTATAAATCTACTAGTTGTTCAAAACTTTCATCTAAATCCTCTTCACAGACACTTCGAAAACACAAAGAAGCAGCCCCCAGTGCACACTGCTACGCTACTCACTATCTATCACAGAATAGAACATGAGTACCATAGCCAATCAGAGGATGGCATTCATGATAGAACGCTAGTAGATTTATACTAAAACTTGATCGAAACACCAAGAACATGTTTTCTATTTCTTTTAGAGAACACCACAATGAAAAAAGGGAAAACAGCTCGTTAACTTTGGTTATCAAAATGTAAATTCTCTTTGGTCGTACCATCATAATGTCAACAGCTCGTGCTAGTTCTGTGTTTCTACTGAGTTATAGAAACACGATTTTTAACCAATTAGCACGTGTATTTTCTTAGAACTTTTTTTTCCAATGTATATTTTAAACCTACCAATAAAACAGTTGCACTTACAGTGCTAACAGCATTTTTTAAAAAAACTCTTAACTCTTAACACTTAATATGTTATTCTATCGGTAATTATTTTAAAAATACTCCATATTTGAATTAAATGTTTCATGAAATTATGAGGCAGCTTACCGGTTGGGGTCGATGTATCGCCAGTTGTAAAGGGCATAACTGCAGTGTGTTATTACTGGAGGGATATCTAGGGTTGGAAAAATGCTAGTTAACTGAGCTGCCAAACCAAGGAATGTAAAAAAGGTAAAGTGTGCATACAAGCCAAGTAGCCGATCAAGCCAGTGCTTATTGCCGGTTTTAGTTGCACAGAGCAACTAGGAGTATTTCTACTCCCCCCTGGATAGGATGCAAGTCTGTTGCCATGCTACCCTTGCATTAAATCTGCCGGTA